GTGGCTAACCCCCACCAAACTGGGGGGGTCTGGCAACCCTAAACTACATAGATGGGGCATGATGACATATGAGTTTTTGTCATATGAATTGTGACTGGATGCCAGTCACAGTTCTCTCAGAACTCTCTCAGCCCCACCTACCTCATGCCTGTTGTGGGGAGAGGAAGGGAAGGTGATTGTCACCTTCTTTGAGACTCCTTAAGGAAGAGAAAAGGATGGTATAAAAACCAACTCTTCTTCAACAAAAATGGAATGAGCTAAATGATGTTTTCTTCCTACCTTCCACAGTGCACTTGGTTGATTTATGCAGTCCAGCTGACTTCCATTACATACTCATGCTGAGAGAAACATGCTAAAGTCAGGGTAAGGCATGAGAGAGAGGAAAGGGGAGCTAAACCATATTCCATTTTTGTTGAAACAGAGACCCATCCCCCACACCATTTTCTTGTCATGTAATTGGGAAGACACTTAAATGAATATACGAACACGTCAAGCTGCCATATACTGAATCAGATCACTGGCCCATCAAAGTCAGCATTGTCTACTCAGACTGGCAGATGCTCTCCAGGGTCTCATGCTATCTTTTACAACACCTACTACCTGATCCTTTTAATTGAAGATGCAGGGGATTGAACCTGGGACTATCTGCATGCCAGGAATGTGCCCTACCACTGAACCACAAGCCCTCTCCACATGTGAATCACCCCACTTGGCCCTAAACCAAAAAGATTGCCTTTCTTCCTCACATTGTCTAGTACCATGGCCCAGATCCAAATAATCCATCCTGTCAGCTTTTAAATAAAATGTAGAATGTTGAGAAATCACAGAAGTGATTTATTATGCAGAGAGATCTGAGATCCAACCTCAGCTCAGAACTCTTGTATCTTGTCTAGTTTGGTTGTTGTATTAAAAGAGAAGCCTCTACCTCTTCACCCAGTCTACTCTGCTTCAAGCTGCCTGCCTGCCTTCCAGAGGATACAAGCAGTGTATTTCCTCTCTGTGTGTACCGCACAGCCTATCCTATCCTAGCCTTTCCTTCCAAGGGGGGAGGGCTTGCCCATCTTCTAGATAAGGGGTGACCAAACTGTGGCTCAGGAGCCACATGCAGCACTTTTTCACATACTGTGTGGCTTCTGGCAGGGTGGCTGAGGAAGCAAAGGGGAGGCATGCCACCCTGATTGGTCTTCCCTTCCCCAGCCAGTGTTCCCCTCTCTGGGAAGGCTTGAAGTGTGTGGGGGGAGCAGAGAAAGAAAACAACTTTAACTTTAAATGCGTTCTTGAAGCTCCCCCCCCCCCGCGGCCTGCATTTGTCCCTTTAAATCCCTTATCCAAGCCAAGCTGGCTGGTGTGGGGTGCTTGGAGGATGCATTTAAAGTTAAAGTTGTTTTCTTTCCACCTCACCCTTCCACCCTGCCCTATCTATTTGCTTTCTTTACACTTTCTTTCTTCCCACCTTTCTTTTGTTCTCTTTCTTTCTCCCCTCCCTCCCCATCTAAAGTTAAACATGTTCTCCAAGCCCTGGCACATCGGCAGGATGGCTTGCCTCAGAGAAGGCATTTGTCTCTTTAAATCCCTTGTCCAAGCAAAGCCAGAGAAACAGCGGGGGCTTGGAACACATTTAAAGTTAAAGGTGTTCTCCAAGCTCCCACCCTGCAGCCCTACCTGACAGTATGGAGAAGGCATTTGTCTCTTTAAATCCCTCTCCAAGCCAAGCTGGTTGGCATGGGTGTGTGTGGGGAGTGTTGGAGAAGACATTTAAAGTTAAAGTTACTTTCTTTCCCCCTCTCCCTCCCTCCATCCATCCCCATTGATTTCTTTCCACCTCTCTCTCTCTCTATTTCCCCTTTCTTCCTTCCTCCCTCCCCATCTATCTTCTTTCTTTCTTTCTCTTTCTTTCTTTCTTTCTTTCTTTCTTTCTTTCTTTCTTTCTTTTTTTCTTTCTTTCTCTTTCTTTCTTTCTCTCTCTCCCTCCCCCTTCCCTCTCTCATCTATTTGCTTTGTTTCTTTCTCTCTCTTCCTCCCCCCTCCCCCATCTATTTGGTTTCTTTGTTTCTCTCTCTCTTTCTCTCTGACTTTCCCCCTCCCTTCCTCCCTCCTCCATCTATTTGCTTTCTTTCCACCTTTCATTTACTCTTCCTTCCTTCCTTCCTTCCTTCCTTCCCCCTCCCTCCCCTCATCTATTTGCTTTCTTTGTTTCTCTCTCTCTTTCTCTTTCCACTTCTTTCATTCTTTCTTTCCACCTCTCTCTCTTTCTCTCAGACAAATAAATATCATTAGCAAACAAATAAATATCATTGGACAAATAAATATCATGATCAATATCTGTTTTTACCCACTTTGTTTTTATTTTTGGCAGTCTTATTTAATGTTAATAAAAAGTAGATTTGCATATTTTCCAATAAAAATGTGTGTGTAATATTTGTTCATATCTTGTGGCTCTCAGACATCTGACATTTATTCTATGTGTCTCTTACCTTAAGCAAGTTTGGCCACCCATGGTCTAGATCATGGTTTTAAGATCTGTATTTATGTGAATGGAAGTGTGCCACAAGAGTTAAACATAGCACTATTTGATTTCAGAGAAAGGAATGTCTCAAATATGCAAGGATTAGTCAAAAGGAAGCTGAAGGGAGTGGGAAGCAAAGATTGCCAAAACCTTACAGGATGCTTGGAAACAATTTAAATCTACAGTAATCCATTAGTTTAGATAGAATGTGTACTGCAGATTAGGAATGATGCCATCAAATCTAAGAGAGCCTATTTCTAAAAACACAAAGACAAACAATAAGTATCTTTAAATACATTATAAGTAGGTAATTAGTCAGGAAGGTGATGGAGAAGTATCACAATTAATAAAAAGTGGAAATGATGCATACAGAAATGCATACCAGGATGCATCTGTTCATGCCTGTTCTATTCTGTTCCATTAACTCATTCTTTCCCTGCCCTTTCCACTGCCCCTACCTTGTCATTGAACAGTGAAAAGCACCAGGATGATGTCATTTTTAAAGACTACTAATTGTAGTCAATAAGATTTGCAATCGTTCCAACATTACTGAAAATGGGGAGGGGTTAGTTATTACATTAATATGAGTGAATATCCCAAGTGTACAATAAAGAGTACATTCTACATAGCAAAATAAATAGATACATTTCAACACATTTTAATTATCATTTTGAATTAATTAGTACCAAATGTATCACACCAGAAGGTGTGTGGGGGGGTCAACAACAAAAACATCTCAGTAGAATCCAGTTCTGTGTTTAGATGTGCAAGAACTACCTCCTCAAACACTTAAAAATCTGCTTAAAGTTTAAAATATCAAATCTAGGTAACCACAAAGAACTGAAGAACTGGCAAATAGTTTGAAAATTTATCTTTCCAGGATTCTATAAACCCAGGAGCTTGACCAGGCTAATCACCCCTCTCCTTTCCCATTGACTCTGAGCTGCTCTCTCTATTCTGTGCAACAGATGGGAGGTTTGTGCATGACTAACATATCTCTTTCTACAGTTCCCCTTCTGCATTATGAAATTCATTCTACTCTTTCTTCCAGAACAATCTAAATCAGGGATTCTGTAACAGGCAGCCCCTAGAAAAAAGTCTGGCCTTTTAGTAGTAGTTATGATCTACAGCAGGGGTGGCCAAACTTGCTTAAGGTAAGAGCCACAAAATAAACATCAGATGTCTTTTCCACATGATATGAACAAATATTACGCACACCTTTTTATTGGAAAATATGCAAATTTGCTTTTTATTAACATTAAATGTGCCTGCCAAAAATAAAAACAAAAGGGGTAAAAACATACATTGATAATGATATTTATTTGTCCAATGATATTTATTTGTTTGCTAATGATATTTATTTGTCTGAGAGAAGGAGAGGTGGAAAGAAAGAATGAAATAAGTGGAAAGAGAGAGAGAAACAAAGAAAGCCAATAGATGAGGGGAGGGAGGGGGAAGGAAGAAAGGAAGGAAGAGAGAGAGAGTGAAAGGAAGGAAGAAAAGAAGGAAGAAAGAGTAAAAGAAAGGTGGAAAGAAAGTAAATAGACAGGGGAGGGAGGAAGAAAGAGAAAAAGAAACAAAGCAAATAGATGAGGGAGAAGAGGGAGAGGGGAGGGTGAGAGAGAGAGAGAGAGAAGGGAGGGAGATGGGGAGGAAGGAAGGAAGGGGGGAGAGAGAGACAGGTGGAAAGAAATCAAAGAAATGGGGGAGGGAGGGAGAGGTGGAAATAAAGCAACTTCAACTTTAAATGTGTTCTCCAGCACCCCCACACACACACCCATGCCATGCCTTCTCCATACTGTCAGGTAGGGCTGCAGGGTGGGGGCTTAGAGAACACCTTTAACTTTAAATGTGTTGTCCAAGCCCCCACTATTTCTCTGGCTTGGCTTGGACAAGGGATTTATAGAGACAAATGCCTTCTCTGAGGCAAGCCAGCCTGCTGGTGTGCCAGGGCTTGGAGAACATGTTTAACTTTAGATGGGGGGGGGAGGGGAGAAAGAAAGAGAACAAAAGAAAGGTGGGATGAAATAAAGAAAGCAAATAGATAGGGCAGGGAGGAAGGGAGAGGTGGAAAGAAAACAACTTTAACTTTAAATGCACCCTCCAAGCCCCCCACACCAGCCAGCTTGGCTTGGATAAGGGATTTAAAGAGACAAATGCCTTTCCAAGGCAGCTGGAGTGGGTATTTTGCGAATGCATTTAAAGTTGTTTTCTTTCTCTGCTCCCTTCCATCTTGAGCCTACCCAGGGAGGGAAATACTGTCAGAGGGAGGGAAGACTGACTGGGGAGGCATGCCTCCCCTTTGCTTCCCCAACCACTTTGCTGGGAGCCACACAATATGTGTGAAAGAGCCGTATGCCTCCTGAGCCACAGTTTGGCTACCCCTGATCGACAGGGACCATTGCAGGATGGATATAACATGCAAACTGGTCTGGAGACTTTAAAACAGTAGCCAAAGGTTAATTTTAAAACGTGATATAAAACTGTAGCTTACCATCTGCTATTTCTGCACAGAGCTGCAGTCCTAAATTATTCTGTGGATTAATCACCCAGTGATTGCTGGTCACGGTGATGTCAAATACAAGCCAGCCAACATCAAATGCTTGAGTCTTTCTTGTATCTAATAGGAACAAGTCTGCATCCCTAGTTTAAAAAGTAAAGAAAATAGTTAGGAAGTTAATATTTCTTGGGTTCTGCTTTGTTTGTGCCAGTGAGGAGCTAGAAAAGGATTTGTTTGGACTTAATTGAAATAGACATAAATAATGGGCATAATAACTTATATTTCATTTGAAAACTAACAGTATAATCCTAAAGAGAATTAAGGTAAAGGTTTCCCTTGCTCGAAAGCCGGTTGGATCCGACTCTAGGGTTGTGGTGCTCATCTCCGTTTCAAAGCCGAAGAGTCAGCACTGTCCGAAGACGTTTCCGTGGTCATGTGGCCGGCATGACTAAACACCAAGGCGATGGAACGCTGTTACCTTCCCACCGAAGTGGTACCTATTTATCTACTTGCAATTTCTTGCTTTCAAACTGCTAGGTTGGCAGGAGCTGGAACTAGAGATGAGAGCTCACTCCGTCACGTGGCACACTCGGGTCTCGAACTGCTGAACTACCAACCTTCCACAGCCTGCAGTTCAGCGTCTTAACCACTTGAGTCACCGCAGCTCCTCTTCTAAATCCACTGAAGTCAATAGCCTTAGGAGGCTGTAACTCTCCTAAGGATTGCACTGTAAGTCTGTGATGATCCACAAAAAGAGTTCTTCAATTTAATTTTGAAAAGGACTTCTGCACTGGCTTCAGTGGATCATTACCACATTTAACTTTCCTATAAGGGTAAGCAGAAACTTATGTGGGCTGCTGACATTGGCAGACAATGTGAAGGAAAAGAGCAAAGAGAGCCAGAGATGCAAGTCAACAGCTCAACATCTGAAAAAGCCCCACCCCCATTACAAACAGGCAACATGGGAGGGGGATTCTCCAAGGTTCCCCATAGTGATCGAAAAGAACAGTGGCTCCAGCAGGGCAAGAACAGCACCCTTTGTCCCCCTTTCTATTTCTAATGCATTAAATACTGAAGAATGTCATTTCTCCAGTACAGGCAAATGCTTTCATGTTTCCAAAACCCAGACTCTTCTATTGCAACAGGCAATGTTCATAAGTTTCTTCAGTGTAACAAATGGATCCAACAAGCTTTTCTCCTGGTAAAAAAGGAAGGAGGTTGTCCTCTTTAACTACCAAAAAGGCTATGCTGGGGATCATGAAACATGCATGGATAAAAGGAATGTAAGACAGGGACTGTAGTCAGGAGTAGAATTATATGAGATTGATTGAATAACCTGGCTGGATCTAACCCAATGTATACTATCCTATATTTTTACTGTAAATTGCTTTGGGAGCCAGTCTTGCAGAAAAGTGGGCTACACATACAATAATAAATGAACCATTTAACCATTCAGTTCTGTGAGTGAAAAAATGTTCCATACATGTATTAGAAAATTCTCACGCGCATGCACAAGGCTTCCTTTTCATAAGCTAAAAGACAAAGAAAACCCCACATGCATGGGTCGAATCATACCTATGGCATTTTAAGATTATTCGGAAAAAGCAATATCTCTCATTGATTTGCTCTAAGGCCCTACCAAAACCACATGGAAAACAAGATCAATTTCTCAAGGTAGTTAAAAGGGAGCAGAACCCCCTTTTCAAAATGTGGTCAGTAGCTTAGATGTTTTAGATGTATAGGTCATCAGTATTCCTAAAAACACCAAACCCCAAGATTATCACTTAAGCCACTTCTTACTAACGCAATATTTGTATTACAGATTACTTATGGTGAAGAGCATGGATGTGGCAAATCTAATCTAAAAGTTCATTCATAGCTTAATATGCCCAACAAGCTATCCCACTCAAACACAACAGCCCTACACAGTACATAGATTAAGAAAGTAAATGTAGCTCTTGGGTCTGTAAAAATAAATAGTGTTGAATCATATAGTATATCCCTTGTTGCAGTTAAATGAAAGTTGGCTTGGCACATTCATATTTCAGAGCAGTGGGTATTTTATAAAACTGGTCATTTAAATTGTGCATCTAATTCCTACATTTGCTCATCCATAACGGATAAGTGAACCAATCATTTACACGATGAAATTGGAAAATTGGATACCTGTGAATTTTCCTTCTGGCACCCTCACTGGACAGCAGTACAAGAGATGGGTTGTTCAACCTTCCAACCACTAGGAGAAAAAGACTCCAGGTTGAGGCTGAAAACAGACATGCTGGCATTAGGAACCACTGCTCTGTTCTGAATCCAAATCTATACGCTATTTTCAAACTTGCCAGGTTGTGTGTGAATATGCTAAGGTACTTTCTGAGGTCACATGGACTTGGGTTCAGGGCTTCCATGAAACTGCACACAGAGAGTGATGTACAGAAGAATAGAGCCCCTTTCAGACATTAAAATTGCACATACTGGGAGCCTGCCAACCACACACAACAGGAGCATGTGCTACTTTTTACCATTCCCATACTCAAGGTCACCATGTTGTGAACTCAAACCCTAAAAAATCCATTGGTCAGTTCATGTGCACTTGGATCTGTATGCACTTGGCAAATATGTATGTTCTTCCTGTTCACACAACATGGTAACTATGCATATCAAAAGGATCCATGCATGTTTGATAGGCTCCCAATATGAGTGATTATAGTACATGAAAAGGAAGTGATTATACTATATGATAAGGGCTAATGCATCCAATCAAAACTTTCCCTGCCATCCACAAAAGGCCTAAGTTTCTCTTATCTGGGCCATAACTGCCACTATGCTGAATTCAATTTATTGCAATGTTAATCAGATAGCAGGAAGATCATTAGGATCTAACTGACAGTTCAGTGACAGCTACATGTCAGCAGGTGGACTGATAAGCCTGTTCTAACCGGTTATGGCTGGCACTGGACAGTGTGCAGTCATCATGACTCAGCTTGTTGCTGATTGGTGCTACTGTGTATATAAGTCTGTACAGAAGCCATGTACGTTCTCTTCGGAGGCAACAAGCGTCTGGCGAAGCATTTTGTCTGTATATTCTGTGAATAAACCCTTGTATATAGTGTACCACTGGACTGTGCAGTGTGGTTACTATAGAGGGGCAGAACAGCAAAGAACTGGTAAGAGCTGGGAGGCTGGAAAGTCTGCTAAGGTGCTGTCTTGGCTTAGACTGGTCTGTGGACCACTACACACGCTCTGCGCAACAGCATGCATGTCCAGCTCTGAACTTGTCCCCTTGAAAAAAGTCGTTGTGAAACTTCACAGGATGAGACCTAGTTCTTGCTGAAGTGACAAACTTATTTCTGAACTCCATCACTGCAGAATGGAGCTGATAATTGAATGCTTCTTCATATAAAAGTATCCATTCACAGAGAAAATTAGTTATCAGAGCTAAAGGTTCAAATGTTTTTTTGGTATGAGGCCGCATAAATAAATAAACAACATAGCTTTGCTCTGACATGCTTAGTGTTCTATCTTCAGGAAGGTGTTTTTGTTTGTTTGTTTGTTTTGTATGAAAAGGCATTCAGTCTATTCAGTTTCTCCACTCATACAGCTGGGTACAGATTTACCACCTCATAAGCTTTCAGCAAGTGAAGTCAGGATCTTCTGACAGGAGTACTGAGCAAATCTGACCACAGAAGAAGCACTAGAGAAAGAGCTGCCTAACACTTTTTTTCATGGGCTGATTTTTCCAATCAAAATCCCACAAAATCCCACAAAATCCCACAAAATCCCACAAAATCCCACAAAATCCCACAAAATCCCACAAAATCCCACAAAATCCCACAAAATCCCACAAAATCCCACAAAATCCCACAAAATCCCACAAAATCCCACAAAATCCCACAAAATCCCACAAAATCCCACAAAATCCCACAAAATCCCACAAAATCCCACAAAATCCCACAAAATCCCACAAAATCCCACAAAATCCCACAAAATCCCACAAAATCCCACAAAATCCCACAAAATCCCACAAAATCCCACAAAATCCCACAAAATCCCACAAAATCCCACAAAATCCCACAAAATCCCACAAAATCCCACAAAATCCCACAAAATCCCACAAAATCCCACAAAATCCCACAAAATCCCACAAAATCCCACAAAATCCCACAAAATCCCACAAAATCCCACAAAATCCCACAAAATCCCACAAAATCCCACAAAATCCCACAAAATCCCACAAAATCCCACAAAATCCCACAAAATCCCACAAAATCCCACAAAATTTCCACAGTGGGGAAAATACAGGGACCCATACAGGCCCACGTGAAAGGGGTTACGGACATTTTGTCCTAGCACTGCTGTTGTGATCAATTTCACTGGCACACAAACCTGCATTTAATGCCCCCCCCCAAAAAAAGTTGGAAGACTGAACATGGATCTCCTAGTATTGTGCAGCTGGAGCATATGAAATAAGGCCAAATTTCAGAGCCTCATTTGACTTTCACACAGGATTGGTTGTCAAGGAAACCTTGAGATGAGAAGGAAATCCATCAAAGCACTTATCAGGGGGAAAACACTCAATACTGCCAGTTATCAGATATTCAGCTCCACTACAGAAGTAATTGGAAAGCAGAGGAAGAAGGCAGGATATAAACATGATTAATAAGGGGAAAATGAGCCTTCCCTGGAGAGGAGGGCATATAAATCTAATAAATAAATAAAAATCTATCAATCAGCTATTGAAAGCTCTAGAAATATAACAGATGACCAAATGGCATACCATTGGAATTGAGATTTCCCTTCAGTATTTGTGGCGGAATGGGCCTACATCAGTTGGCAGGCCCCACTCTGCCCACCCTTCCTTTGCCTGATCTAGCACCTGAAGGGGCAGTTCTTCTCCACTGCCTCCGGGTATTGCTGCCACCACTGTCCCTCTCTTGGGCTCTGGTTAGGCGGGACAACCTCCTAACCTCCCTCCAGTCTTACTAGGAACCCACCTTAGGGCTTCCTGGCAATCTTTGGGGGTCCCCTGGAGAGTTGGCAACTGACCATTTTGCCCCTGTTCTCCTCCTCAGGAAGTCCCTGACCCACCCCTAGTGTACCCAAGCAGCTGGGGGAACTAGGTGGTACAGAGGGATCTTACTCCTTTATCACTTAAAGGATTTATTTGAAAACACTTAACTATTTACAGGCATACAGTGAACTGAAGAATCAAAAATAAAGGTGACAAAACCGCTCCATCTCTCCCTTCTCTACACTCATACCCTGTCTAGATGGTCTGCAGGTGTGGTGTATGTAATATAATGTATGAAGGCAGGGGTCATTTCCAGCAGTAAGGAGCCCAGGGGGCGGAGACATGCAACAAGCCCCACCCCTTGCTCCCAGCGGCCCTCAGTTGGGCCATGAGGAGCAAGAAGCAGCCAGGTAAGTTGCAGAGCCCCCCTCCCCCGGCCCGCCTTCAGGTACAAGCTCTCCCTCCTCTGTGAGGACAGATCTGCACATCCCGTCTCCCCCAATAGCTAGCAATCCAAAACAGTCCAGTGGAGCCTGAATGGTGGGTGTTGCCTTCTGACACACTTCCAGTGATGTCAGGGGGGGTGGCATATGCAAATAAGTTATGCTAATGAGCTCCTGTACCTCTTTTTCTACGAAATGACCCCTGTATGAAGGTATTGAGCTTGAGTCTGACCAAACAGATAAAGCTGAGCATATGTTGCCAGAGGCACTGCCTTTTGGGTAGCCCCATAGCAAGGGCACCGCACTTCTAAACTGACCCAGAGAGCCACAAAACTCAGGCCAAGGAAGGCACTCCTGGTTCTGAAACACAGAGCTAGCCACAGCTCTGAAAAAGCGGTCTCCATTTTCAGATGACAGGCAGCCTCAGAGCAAGCCTCCAGTCTTCCCCCTCCACCAGCAGAGATTATGCTTATGGAATGACAATGAGTTCTACCAGGTAAAGTATCTACATTTCTAAAGTCTATTCAAAAGCCACTTGGCAAATAACTCTGTCTCCAGTAATTATTTGTACTGAATACTTGTCTTTCCTGCTCTGTCCCTCAGGATACTGGGATAAACCAATCAATCATTCAGATGTTTAGCCCATCTTTTGTCTATACTTGAGAGCCTTTTCAAAATACCCTGGCCAGGACCATTAGTGGTCTGATGATCCATTTAACTAGCTACCCAACACCTGGCTTCTATTGTTAAATACAGACCCTGCCTCTCTGGAAGCTCACTGGTCACATCTAGGCCTTGCCCATCCTGATGCCAAGCACCCCTGGGACTCATCACTGGTCCAGGTAAGCGACTGTTCTCACCTGAGACCAGCCCACATGGCCGTCCGTTGGTCTGCATTGTCTTCCAGTGAGTATATCCCAGCGAACACATGGCTTCAGACTGGCAGGCCATCCCTGGAACCCTCTGGGTTTTGGGTCACAACCCTTCTTCATGGACCTCTGCACATCTGGACAGGTAGTATCACCCCATATCCCCTCCATTAGCCATCAATCACCTCTGCTTCCTTAAGTCTGTATTGTGTGCGTGAATGTTTAATTATTGTTTGTGCGCTTGAGAATATTTAGTAAAGAAATCATTTTATATTGAAACCGGCCTCCGTGCCTATTTCTGGTGTTCCTGGAAGAAGTGGGATCCCTGTATATAAAGGTGTTTGTTCCCTTATTGCCTATTGCTATTTTATAATATCTCATATTCCCCAATACTGATAATAACTCAGAGCAATCAGGCTAACACAAAGTCCCACTGTGCCCTGGTTTTCATGGAGCATCGTCTTGAGAAAAGAGCAACTGGCAGCAGGACAAAGCCTCAATCAACATCCCCTGTTCAGCCTGCCAGCAAGTTCTGCTATCACTGATGCCACTCTCACTACAGCTTTTGTCTCTAGGCTGGCAACTACTCGAGTGCAAATTATCATCCCTCAGGAGATCAGATTTTGCCAAGGAAGCACCAACTGCTGAACTCTCATGAACTAATTTATTAATATGAAAAGCGAGAAATGATCCAACCTCAAAGATGGGAAGGATGTACAGATGTCCATCCATCTGTACAGATGTCTACTCAGTTAAGAGTCTTAAAGGAAAATTCACAGGTAAGACCAATTTTTTTTTTAATTTGCCTTATGTGCATTAGCAAAAGACCCTTGGTGGGTAAGAGTCAGAGCTATGACTTCCAGGTCTAAAAACAACAGTCTTCCTGCCAGCTTGCTGATTTACTGAACCTGTTGAAATGCTTGATATCCAAAAAGGCTGTCACTTCACCAAGCATCTAAATGGGTCTATACCACCACATTTTGTTGCAATGCGTTTCTTTTAGCTTCGCCCTTTTCATGTTCCTCCCAGCATTAAACCTTCCATATTTCCTGTATATAACATGCTTCCTCTTCTCATGGTTGAGGAACTGGACTTTCTTTTATAATAAGAACAATTTTGCACAACCACACCCATGCACATAAATAACCACCTAATAAGTTGTAAGTGTTATGCTACCCAAGGGGCAACCTTATATAGATGGGTATGTGATATAGCCATGATTCTGCAGCTAAACTTACCTTAACAAAGAAGGTATATATGGCAAATTGCACAAAATCAGCTTCTAAAACCAAAGGAAAATTCTTTGATAAAGAAAGAGGAGAACTAGACCATCTATGGGACAGGGATGTCATAAGGCATCCAGTCTAATTGGGGAACATTATGCATTCCTTTACTGAAACCTGTTCACCACCAGATTGATGGGAATCTGCAGTATCTTCCATCTTTACTGAATATTGTGACCAGTGTTCCCTCTAAGCTGAGTTGGTGTGAGCTAGCTCACAGTTTTTTAGCTTCCAGTTCACACATTTTTGTCTTAGCTCAGGAAGGAGGGCTCCAGAGCAAACTAATTTATGCAGCAGCCCAATTGCTCGCTCACAACTTTAATGCTGGTAGCTCACAAAGTAGAATTTTTGCTCACAAGACTCAACAGTTTAGAGGGAACATTGATGTGACTACAGTCTCTACAGCCATGACAGAGGCCTGCTGCATGTACAAAAACAGGGTTCAGAATCATGCTCCTGTACCATTCACAAGCTTTCGGCTAATGGGCAGTAGAATACAAAAAAAAATATTGAAGAGTTAGAGCACCTGACCTACAACAAAGACTGAAGAGTTTGGGACTTTTCCAATTAGGAAACCCCCCCCCCCCCATGGTAAACGGACTATAATAGGGGCTTACATAACTGTGCATAGTATGGAGAAGGAGGCCAAATGGCACTCATTTTCCATTACTCAAATTATGAGAAATTGGGGAGGGTACCCAATGAAATGGACCGGCAGAAGAATCAGGAGACAAAAGATAGTATCACCTTATATAAATGGAGCAATTAGGGTTGAGAACAAAGGATTTTAATTTAGAATTGATAACTAATTAAACAATAATTTAAAACTGATTACTAATAAGGAATAATAACCCAAAGCAGTTAAGGATGAGATTGTTTTGTGCTGCAGCCCTGTTACTGAGTACGAAGATTCTTCTGCTCTCCCAGATTAAAAAAAAAGCTTGTGGCTCAGAACTGATTAGGACACTGGTATATGGAATAAATACTCTGGCAACTTTTTGTGGGTTTCTTCCCTGTAAATATAGTCCTTTTTATTATCATTATCACCCAGTCCCTGTAATGGCTTGACACACTATACACTGACTTGAGCTATGTTTCAGGGGCCTAGCTAGAGGAGACAGGAAATCTCAACATTGTTGAGGCTTTCTCAGAGCTTTTATTAGTGAATGGTGTCTGTGCTACCCCCCAGTTTGGATCTGAGCAATAGGAAGCCTTCTACTGTTTTGTCAATCAAAATCAACACACATCCTCCCATGGTGTTAATAGCCTTGGGAGAGAAACAGAGACAAAGAAAGGGGCACCCATCTATTTTTCTTTACAGAAAAAGTAACACCACACTGGAGGTATGAGTTAGTTTCAATCGCTGACATTCCATGAACTGGAATTCCTCACATCTTTTATTTGACTTTCAAAATGTATGAGAGGATCCAGTGATGGATCTTCAGCATAACATCTAATAAGGCCCTTGGCTTATATGATTTGAAGGACCAATTTCGTCAAAGTGTTCTTGGTAAATTCAGTTTCTCAAGCTCTGGGTCGCTTCTTCCCATTTCTCAATCTGTCTCCGCAAGACGGATTTCTCAACACTTGGTCTTTTTTGCATGTTCATTTTATAATCATACCCCTTAAAATCTCTTTCACTAGGAAAAAAAGACAAAATTTGAAATATAACAAGAAGGAAAAGCACCTGTTTGGGTACTCCTTTATGATCTGATAAATGCTGATCTTAATAGTTTCATTCTCAAATCGACTATAACTTTGATCCTTGTAAATCCGAAATTCAGCTGCAGTCACTGCTTCTCCATAAGGGATCTGTGTCAGGTCAAACCGAAATTCTTTGTAATGCCGTCTTTGGTGGGAAAAGTCCTTGTCTCTTTCAACTGTGAAAACAAAATGAAAATGAAAGGGTCAAAACACATCTCTTATGACTAATTCAGCATTTGCTTTAAAACATAAATAAGCAAAGGAGACCAGAGACCTAGATAAACAATCAAACCACAGCCCATAACATATTTGCACTTAAATATCAAGCTGTAAGCCAAAGTTCTTAAATCCGCTGGAAAAGCCCTTCATGAAAGCTTCAGAAGGCAAAGAGTAGAAGGAAGATCCAGAAATGGGCAAGGCTATTTCCATGTAATAATATTAGAAGCAGGAAACCAGCCAGAGAGGCAGTGGGGCCCTTGGATGACCAAGGAGTAAAAGGAGTACTGAAGGATGATAGGGAAATGGCTGAGAAGCTAAATGCATTTTTTGCTTCTGTCTACTGTGGAAGATGAGAAGTGGTTGCCCACTCCAGAACCGCTGATTTCAGGAGGGGTGTTGAAAGACCCAAGTCAGATTGAGGTGACGAGAGAGGAGGTCCTCAAACTGATAGACAACTTTAAAACTGATAAATCACCAGGCCCAGATGGCATACATCCGAGAGATCTGAAAGAACTCAAATGTGAACTTCTGGATCTCCTGACAAAAATATGTAATCTTTCCTTAAAATCTGCCTCCATTCCTGAGGACTGGAAGGTAGCTAATGTCACTCCCATCTTTAAAAAGGGTTGCAGAGGAGATCCGGGAAATTACAGGCCAGTCAGTCTGATGTCGATACCAGGTAAATTGGTGGAAACCATTATTAAGGAAAGAATTAGTAGAAACATAGATGAACAAAGCCTGTTGAGGCAGACTCAGCATGGGTTCTGTAAGGGAAGATCTAGTCTCACTAACCTGTTAGTGTTCTTTGAGGGGGTGAACAAACATGTGGGCAAGGGGGACCAAATAGATATTGTTTACCTTGACTTCCAGAAAGCTTTTGATAAAGTTCCTCATCAATGTTCTAAGTAAGCTCAAAAATCATGGGCTAAAAGGACAAGTCCTTTTGTGGATCAAAAACTGACTAATTAGTAGAAAACAGAGAATGAGTACAAATGGGCTATTTTCTCAGTGGATGGTGGTAAGCAGTGGGGTACCGCAGGGATCAGTACTTGGTCCACTGCTTTTTAACTTGTTCATTAATGATTTGGAGTTGGGAGTAAGCAGTGAAGTGGCTAAATGTGCGAATGATACGAAGTTGTTCAGGGTGGTGAAAACCAGTGAGGAATGTGAGGCACTCCAAAGGGATCTGTCAAGGATGGGCAAGTGGGCATCAACATGGCAAATGGGGTTCAATGTGGCTAAGTGCAAGGGGATGCACATTGGAGCCAAAAATCCTAAATATAAATACACGTTGATGGGGTCTGAACTGGCAGAGATTGATCAAGAGAGAGATCTTGGAGTTGTAGTAGATAACTCACTGAAAATGTCGAGACAGTGTGTGACTGCAATAAAAAAGGGCAATGCTATGCTGGGGAGTATTAGAAAGGGTATTGAAAACAGATCAGTCAATATCATAGTGCCCCTATATAAATCAATGGTGAGACCTCATTTGGAATACTGTGTGCAGTTCTGGTCACCACACCTTAAAAAGGATATTATAGCTTTGGAAAAAGTGCAGAAAAGGGCAACTCGAATGATAAAAGGGTTGGAACACTTTCCCCATGAGGAAAGGTTAAAGCGCTTAGGGCTCTTTAGCTTGGAGAAACGACGACTGAGGGGTGACATGATTGAGGTTTATAAGATTATGCATGGGATAGAGCAGGTAGAGAAAGAGGTACTTTTCTCCCTTTCTCACAATACAAGAACTCATGGGCACTCAATGAAATTGCTGAGTGGTCGAGTTAGAACGGATAAAAGGAAGTACTTCTTCACCCAAAGAGTGATTCACACATGGAATTCACTGCCACAGGAAGTGGTGATGGCTACAAGCATGGACGGCTTCAAAAGGGAATTAAATAAGCATATGGAACAGAGGTCCATCAGTGGCTATTAGCCACAAGGTATATATAGGGACTCTAAGGCTGGGGCAAGTGATGCACTGTATTCTTGGTGCCTGGTGGGGGGGCAACAGTGGGAGGGCTTCTAGTGTCCTGGCCCCACTGCTGGACCTCCCGATGGCACCTGGTATTTTTGGCCACTATGTGACAGTGTTGGACTGGATGGGCCATTGGCCTTATCCAACATTAGCTTCTCTTATGTTCTTATAAGAATGATAGGTGAAAAAAATTAAATATGGCTTAGCATAAAAGGGAATTATTCTCAGATAGTCTTGAATTATATTAGTGAAACAGGGTTTGAAAAAGACAAGAAAAACAAGCTGGTCTTTCATCTGAAATAATATTTGGTAACACAGCAAAGTACATTGGGTTGGATTCAAGCTTCCACAAATGGGGTGAGCTCACAGAAGTGGTTTTTGTTTTGCCACCTTCCCTCAGCAATCTTCTGAAAAGCTATTCCTGAGGTTCAAGGAACCCTTCAGAATCAATATGGCATGGGTGAGGAATCATCCAAAATTGCCTTCCTTTTCTCTCTTTCTGACACACTGCTGCATACATCTTGCACAAATTCAGGCATAAATTCTCTGGAGGGTCTTAAATAGATTACTTTCTTCCAGCATTAAGGTTGTTTTGAAATTGATAGTGGGACCTATTTTGTGGGGTTCCACAGGACACAAGCCTATTCTTTATCATTTTCAGTCTCTATGTAAAGCCCTTAGGATAAATAATTCAGTTTAGGGGTTGGCTGTCATCAATACACTAACAATAAGGTAAAGGTTTCCCTTGCTCAAAAGCCAGTCAAATCCGACTCTAGGGATGCGGTGCTCATCTTCGTTTCCAAGCCGAAGTGCCAGTGCTGTCCAAAGACATTTCCGTGGTCATGTGGCCGGCATGACTAGACACCGAGGTGCACGGAACGCTGTTACCTTCCCACTGAAGTGGTACCTATTTATTTACTTGCAATTTCTTGCTTTCAAACTGCTAGGTTGGCAGGAGCTGGAACCAGAGACGGGAGCTCACTCCATCATGCGGCACTTGGGTCTTGAACTGCTGAGCTACCGACCTTCCGGTCTGCAGTTCAGCATCTTATCCACTTGAGCCACCACAGCCCTTACACGAACAATATCCAGCTCTATATTTCCCTATCCAAATCTCCTAGGCCCAATCTGCATTTAGTATTTGCTCTGTTGTTGTACCAAACGCACACTGGAACAGAAAAAGATGAGACTCAAAACCACATTCAAATACCCCAGGTTAATGCCATACTAACTGCAGAGTCACCCCTGAATGGCCATAAAAGGGTCATAAATCTATGCAGACAGCCACCATAAAACCAGAGATCAAATGAAGTGAAAGCAGCATGCAGTCTGGACGCTGCTATAAAATTCGACAATCAAAGTGAAAGTGGCATGCAATGTAGATGGGAATTTCTGTTCCAGTGAGGGTTTGGTAAGACAGCGGAGTAAATGCTAGATGCAGATTCGGCCCTAGTGAGGCAGTAGAGGTCCTGAGTTGCTGCCTAGCTGCTGTGGTTAAATGGCTAAAAGAGTGAACAAATTGAAACTAAACCCTGAAGAGACAGAGGTAATGCTGGTTGGGAAGCATGAGGCCGTGAAGAACATTGTGTTCCCTACTTTCATTGGGGTTCAGCTAGTCCTTGCTGACTCACTTAAGAGCCTTGGTATTAGGCCTGTTTTGGCCTTCCAGGAACATCTCGTTTGCCAGTTTTGAAAAATGGATACTGGACTCTTGGCTTGAACAAGCAGGGCTCTATTTATATTCTTATGGAGAGGATCAACTGCCAACAGAAATTTTTAAAAGACCTGATGAAATCAACAGAACTAGTGTACAAAACAGTAACGGAGGACAGATCTATATGAAGGACAGGTCTATGAGTGGCTACTCACCAAAGTGGCTAAAAGACAACTTCTGCATTCAGAAGCAGTAGACCTCTCAATACCAGAATCCTAGTGCCAAAAGACAACATCAGGGGAATGCCTTGGTCTCTATGCCCTTTTGTTGGCTCTCCAGAGTAACTGGTGGGCTACTGCATGAGAGAGGATGCTGGACTAGATGGACTACTGATCTGATCCATCAGGGCTCTTTTTATGTTCCTATTGTGTTAAGTAATAAAAGCATAGCTTTGTTTTCTTCAGACATATGATGTGATTTCCATTAATCATACAGTCACTGACTTCAAATAACTTCTAACTGCAGAATGTTATAGCTGTAAGGAACTTAATTCAGTCATGAGTCATGACCATTAGGGCAAGCAACCTTTTTTCTCGAATGTCAAAAGACTTCTGTATTTCCCCACCAAAACTATGAAAGGGTACAAAACTTTAAGAGAGAGATGGAAATGAGCAGAGGAGGAAAGAGGAATAAGAGAGTCCAAACTCTTTCACATGTATTAACTTCTCTGACCCCTCACAAATATTCTTGTCGCTTAAGATTGACCCTTCACAAATATTCTTGTCTCTTAAGACAGGTATATGTACCTTTTGTATGTATTGATCTTCTCAACTATGTGACAGAAATATGCTCCTTATGCAAAAGTCTCTGTATTCTTTGCAAAAGGAGAAAAAGTAAATCAACCAGTACCAACCACCCCCAGGTGACAGAGGTTACTGTAAACTGACACAGAACAAAGTACCCATGTGTACATCTTGAACTCCATGAAATGATAATTTATCTTCAGTAAATACTTTCAGTTATCTGACAAGAGCAGGTCAAAGGTTCCAGGAGTTTCCTCTTGAAATCACTGAGAGCTCTTTCTGATGACTGATAATTGAAAGCAGAGGCTGAAAATATCAAACATGGTGGGTGACAGATAAGTCACAGATAAACTCAAAGACTCTGGTTCCTACATACTCAAAGGGCAGAGGCCCCAGGAATTAGTGATTGTGTTACTGGAAACAGAGACATCAAACAGTTCTCTCTTTTTTGTCTTCTACCTTCACGCAGGCAAATGCCAGAAACTGGCTCTCTCATAACTCCTTTGCTTCTGCTCCCTGAATTGG